AAAAGAGACACTACTACTTCTCAGGTCTTCTTCAATTTCTTTCTTCAAAGTACTATAGTTTTCATTGAAGAGATCTTTGACTTCCTTGGTTAGAGTTATTCCTGTTTTTTTTTTTTTTTGAGGATACTATGTACAAATATGTAACAATAAATCACATCAATATGTATAACTACACTGCATCAAAAAAAATGTGAAAAAAAATTATTCAGGAAAAAAAAAGAGCAGACATCTCCTCCATCCCAAGACCTTGTCTTCCTTCCATTCAATAATCTGGACATTTATTAAATACATTGCCATATGTATTAAATACAGCTATAAAATAAACTGTATTTTCTTCTGTGTTTAACGATCCAGAGTTCCAGGACAAACTACAGGTGATGAAAATATATGTTTATTTATTTTCCATGTTTACTTCTTAAAGTTATGTTGTGTATTCTACTGTACTCCCCTCCCTCAAATTTACACATTGAAATCACACCCTCTACTACCCCAGAATGTTACCTTGTTTGGAAAAAGGGTCATTGCAGATATAATTAGTTATTATATGGTCATACTGGAGTTAGATGAGCGTTAAATCAGTATGACTAGTGTACTTATTTAAACAGGGGAAATTTAGACAAAAAAAATAGGCATCATACTATATAGCCACTAGAGTTATGCATTTGCAAGCCCAGAAACTACTAGAACTTAGAAGAGAAGATGCACTGTCTTGTCAATATCCTGATTTTGACTTTTGGCTTCTAGAACTGAAAAGCAATAAATTTTTGTTTTTCTAAGCCAGACAGTTTGTTGTGTTTTATTACAGTAGTCCTAGGAAATGAATCTAAGTTTTAACACAGGTTTGTGTTATGATGGGTTTGGGCTGGATTTCTTAGAAGATCCATTCCAACAAATGTATTACTACTATAACAGGCTTATAGATTTGTTTTGCCTATACTCCTGTGCAAATTTTGGGGTTATCACCCATGCCATTATATCTTTTATCAGTTTTGAAGCATTGGGTTTCAAGTACTTGACTTTTTTCTAACTAGGTGTATAATTCAACTCATTGATCTTCAGTTCCCTGATGATAATGATATTTGACCTAGAAAACCATAAACTTATTTATGAGGATCAAAAGAGATAATAAGCAAGCCTCAGCAATTTAGTGAGGCCCAAAGAAATTTGGTGAGACCCTGTCTCAAAATAAAAAACATAAGAAGGGCCTGGGGATGTGGCTCAGTGGTTAAGTACTCTGGGTTCAACATTCATTTAAGGACAGTGTTTTGATAGCCAAAAAGAGCTAAGCAGGGGAAATCACAGAAAAGGATATTATCAGGTAGCTCAGGGTTGTCCAGTGAGACAGAAAAACCTTAGAACCAGACCCTATTTCTAGTCGTGGTTGTTCTTATTCCCCTTGTGTAAGGAGTTTTTAGAGAACTTTGTTGAGCATTGTATTAATCCACTGCTGTCACTACAAATAAATACCCAAAAGAAAAGATGACTTATAAAGAAAAGATGCTTACTTATCTCACAATTTTAGTTGCTGGAAATCCAAAAATATGATGTGGGCTCTGCAAAGCTCCTATCTTGGCTGTGTAAGCTCATGTCAAAAATGGATGTGGTAGTAAGTAATCACATTCCAGACAGGAAACCAAGGAGAGCAAATGGGGATCTACAATTCCTTCTGGGGGCACACTTCCAAAGGATTAAATACTTTCTACCAAGCTTAAACTCTTAAATGCTCCATACAACCCCAGTATCACCACCATGGGGATCAAGCTCCCAACACAAGAGCTTAGGTGTACCATATCCAAACCATAGTAAGCATCTTACTAACTGATGTAATATGATTAAAAGGAAAAACAAAAACAAAGGAGACTGTCTTTCCAGATGTGCACTCTAGGTACTGTTATTGAAAGTCAGTTGATCTATTTGTGGACTTATTTCTGGGATTTCTATCCTATTCTACTGGTAATATGTCTGTTTTATGCTAATACCTTGCTGTTTTGATTACTGCAGATCTGTAATGTATTTTGAAATCTCTTAGTGAGATGCTTTCAGCTTTGTTCTTTTGGACAAAGACTGCTTTGGCTCTTTAGTGTATTTTATGCTTCTACGTGAATTTTAGAATTTATTTTCTGTTCCTATGACAAAAGACACTGGAATTTTGATAGGAACTTTATTGACTCTAGATCAATTTGGGGAGTAGAAAATTATAATATTGATTCTTCTAAAAATCTATGAGCATCAATATCTTTCCATTTATTTTTTTCATTGATGTTTTATAGTTTGCAGTGTAGAGCTTTCACTTCCTTAGTTAAGTTTACTCATAAAGTAGGTTGTATGTTTAATTCTTTTTGTTGCTATTATAAATGGGATTTTTTCTTAATCATTTTTTTCAGACAAATTAGTGTTAGCTTATAGCAATGCTGCTGAGTTTCATAAGTTGATTTTATATCCTGCAACTTTACTGAATTTGTTTATCAATTCTAATAATTCTTGGTATACGTAGTATTTTCTAAATATATAATAAATGTTTTCACAGAAGAATTAAAGTGGATCTTTATATAAGAAACTTGGAATGGGCTAAAAACTTAAACATAAGACCTGAAATTATAAAGCTAATAGACAAAAATACAGGAGAAAGCCTGCATGATATTGGTCTGGGAGAGATTTTTGAATAAGATTTCAATAGCACAGGAAACAAAAGTAAAAATAAACAAATGATATTTTATCAAACTAAAAAGCTTCTGCACAGCAAATGAAATACTAGAGTGAAAATACAACTCACACATTGGAAGAAAATGTTTGCAAAATATGTATTACATAAGGGGACAATATTTTATATATAAGGAACTCAAACTATTGAGTTTGAGTTAATATAAGATAATATAACAAATAGCCCAATTAAAGATGGGCAAGGAACTGGAATAGACATTTCACAAAAGAAGAAATAGGAATGATCAACAGATAAATGCAAAACTGTACAACATCTCTATTCAGAGAGAAATATAAATTAAGACCAAAATGGGATATCAAATGAATTATCAAATGATTAAACATAAGAAGTGTTGGCAAAGATACAGAGAGAATGGAATGCTTAACACTGTCAGTACTATTGTATATTAGTAGAACTATTTTGGAAAACATCATTGAAATTTCCTCAAAAAATTACAAGTAGAATTACCTTACGATCCAATAATCCTGCTACAGGGATTATATCGAAAGTAATTGAAATCCACATGCCAAAGAGATGTCTGGCCCCACATATTTATTGCAGCATTATTCACAATAACTAAGATATAGAAACAATCTAAGTTTCTATCAGTGGATGACTGGCTTAAGAACTGTGGTACATACACAATGGAAAATGATTCAGCCTTAACATAAGAAATTTTGTTATTTCTGACAACATGAATGAACCTAGAGGCAATTGTTATGGTAAGTGGAATAAGCCAGACACAGAGAGATGAATAATGTGTGATCTCACTTATATGTGGAAGTTAAAAAATTAAAATGGAGAGTACAACAGTAGTTAACAGAAGAGGGGCATGTCAGTGTGAGGGTAGAGGTGGAGAAAAACATGTAGGCATTTGTCATCTGGTACAAAGTTAAAGAAGCAATTTCTGGTGTTTCATTCCTTGGCAAGATGACTATATTTAGTAGTAATATATTGTATATTTTTAAATATCTACAAGAGAGAGTTTAAATGTTCTTCCCTTAAAGAAAAGATAAATGTTTACACCTATGGATATGCTAATTTCCATGATTTGATAATTCTGAAATGTAAATATGTAAAGAAACACCACATTGTACCCTATACATATATACAGTTACTATTTCTCAACTAAACAATGTAAAAAAGAAAGGGGTTGAAGTAGATGTTACCTAGGCATGCAGAAATAGGAACTGACTTTTTAAATTGCTCTTAAAAGTTTCTAATGAAAGCTGTTTGTATGTATTTGGATTGGGATACATTGTTTGTACATTACCTTACTAGTTGAGAGTAAATTTAAAATGCCAGTCACTTTCTCATATTGCTGTATATGTCAAGGTGTGTTTTTAAGCCAAACAAAAGACTGCCATTTGCTTCATGTGTGTCTGGTCTTGCAGAGAAGAAAGAAATGTTTTAGGGGCTGACCTCACAGAGGAAAATTTTGTAAACATCTTCTATTAGTTTAATAGGAGGAAATAGAAATAGTTGAGCCTAGCTGAGAGTACTTGATCAAGTGACTTAATTGCTTGAGTGACCAGATGATTTTTCTATAGATTGAGAAGTTTGAACCCTATGTTTCTCAAACTAAAATACTCCTAATAAGCATTTTACTCCACAATGTTTGCTTTGATACACAAACGTTTTAAATTATTTAGCATTAAGTAAAGAAGGTATTCCAAGAAAATACTCCATGATTTTTCTGGTGACTTGACATAGTCCCTAACATACCGTTTAATTTCCTAATTGTAATAGTATAAGAATAGGTAATACAATATCCCTCTGGCTATAAGTTTTTGGTCATTTTATGTTTTTCTAAATAACTTTTTTGGGTTTTCATTTTTTAAATGTTCATTTTTTAAAAAAAAAATTGTAGTTGTAGATGGACAGAATGCTTTTATTTTATTTATTATTTTTTCTTTTTTAAATTTATTTGTTTTAATTAGTTACACATGACAGTACAATGATCTTGACATATTATGCATTTGAATCAGATGGGATCAAGTACTCTCAACTAGACACTAATAGAGCAGTGTCAATAATGCAGATGGTTTTATACCTATTCCATTACAAAACACTAATCAAAGTCACGAGATATTAAATACTAAACCCTAATGCCAAATCACAATCTGTTTTCTCTTTGCATGTAGGGTTTCTTAGAGCTTTTATTTTAATCCCTAGAACTTTCCTTTTACTCCATATTACACCATGCTTACAACCTGAAGCTAACTAAAAATAGTATTCTATACTCTTTTTAAAAATATGTTCAAGGGCTGGGGTTGTAGCTCAGTGGTTGAGAACTTACCTCCCATGTGTGAGGCACTGGGTTCGATCTTCAGCACCACATTAAAAAAATAAATAAAATAAAGATATTTTAAAAATATATGTGCAATGTAACATCAGGTACATCCTTAAGAATTGGACTATAACAATAAAATCTATTCCATGCTTGTATAATTATTATATCAAAATGTATTCTGCTATCATGTATAACTAAAAAGAACCAATAAACTTTTTTAAAAATGGTGGAAAAAAAGAAATAGTTGAGCCTTAAAAAACCAATCATTATATCACATTTATTCAATTTCATATAACTTACCCAGGAAGTATATATCTGGAGGACAGATTGCCTCAGTGCTGTGGACAAGTTATAGTCCTCAGAACTGTGGTGCACTTGGTGTCCAGCCCAAATAATGTTAACCTCTGCAAAACACATAATTTGAAAGCAGCCATGAGAAAAAGAACAAAGTAACTTCCATGTCCATTTATGCATGTTTCTCTCTTGAGTGAGGATGAAAAATCTGGAATATCTCTGGAAAAGCTAGCCAACACCATGATAATTGAAATAAGGCTGCTCAAATCATTTTTTGGAAACAGGAGCCAACAGAGTATAAATAAATAAAAACTTGAAACGTAGCCAATAAATATGTATAGCATATATGACATAATTAATGCCTCTAGCAAACTAAAATAACTTCTGAAATTTACACTTTACTAACATATTACAATATGACAGATCATAAAAGCCAACTGGAAATGTGGTAACAATGTAGTCAATGGATAGTGATGATTTTTCAGTATGTGATAACATTTCTAATTAAAGAAGATTGCTGATGGAAGAAATTAGTACATAAATTTTGGAATGAATTATTACATAATATTATTTCCTGATGGCTTTTGAAAAGTCTTAAAAAATGTTGAAATAAGAAGAAAAATAGCAATATTCGGTCCTAAGATTTAAAGTTTTCCTTTTATTTACAAAAATACATTAAATAATGGTTATATAGGGTTCTTCCCATACCTTACAAAGATAGTATTATATTTCTAAAATTTTTCCAAATAGTAGATATTGTTCTTATAATAAAGAAGACAATGAATGTTTTTATTTTTATCACACACACACTCAAAAGGAGAGTGGCTTGTTTTGCCTACAAGTATGACTTCATAATGACCCTTCAAAAAAAAAAAGGAACAGAAGAGGCCAGGTGACTTTGTATTCTGCCCATATTTTTCTCTGTGTAGATATTTTTCATCTTAAGAAAATCCCAGTTAAAAATGTCACATTATATATAACACTCAATTAAAAACATGTATTTGTTCTTACTTAACTAATTTATGTTTGGTCTTTTGCTACAAATCCAGGAGATGGAATTAACCATATGATATGATCGTTGTATCATCAGTATAGATAATAAATTTAAAAGCTTAGGATTGGATGTATGGGATTGTAACTATGGACCTTAATTGTGAAAATACCAGTCTACTGATCTGGGCAGTTGCTGTATGCTCTCTGACCACTTTGTTTAGGGAGTTACCAAACAAAACATGGAAAGCAAAATTATCTTAGTCAACAAGTGATAGCTCAGAGATATAAGAAGAACTTAACTTTGTGAGAGTGAAAATATTATGAACAGGATTCTGAATAGGTAGGCTTATCAGATTTTTTCTATAAAAGTATTTTCATTACCCAGCTTCTGATAAGTAACTTATATACTGAATAATTAATGTTTTAATCATTTCTAAAATTGACACTATATTTCTACCCAAGAAATTTAGAAAATTGTTCCTATACAAATGAGGACTAATTCACCATGATGACCTCTCAAACTTCCCTGCCATAATCTTTGAAATAATTTAGAAGCAAAATCTCTGGCTTATTGATTAATACACACAGCTATATGTAAGAGATATAAGAAACTCTGTGGCACTGTTTCTCTTCCTGTGTTGTGGGGTGTGAGTTCAAGAGGTAATAAAGTTGATGAATATACTAAGGTTTTAAGACTGTTTACAGATTGAACACTTGAAGCAATCTAAACACTATTTTCCCTTTAGAACATACTCAGCACCATGCTTTTCAGAACTTACTACTTATAAATCTTCCTTATAAGTCAACACATTGTATATTTTTGGACTTCTCAGAATTTAATTTTAAAAATTCATCCTAATGCATCCATAAAATAAGTTAACAAGGGGATGACCTAATTAGATAAGGTTTCATTAGAGACTCATAATATATATTGGAGCTACTTCCTTATAGTCTCCACAGAAAAGAATGGTGGAACAAAGAATCCACAAAGGTGGAGGTTAAAGACCTGTCTTTTTAGTTGTTTTAAAAGCATTTACTTCCTATCACAAACTGTGTGTAACACAAGCCTTCCTTCAATGAAGTACAGCTGTATAAACAGGGTACAGTAACAGGATCCTACCACCTTACCTCTGTCACTTTTTAGAAATGGGAAAAACAAGTAGGAAAACTGGACTTTATTATTTTTTTTTTTTTGCAATTTATATTCAGCCTGGAAGAAAGTTAATTTTAAAAAATGTTTACAAAAATCATTTTATAAAAAAACTGTTCTAATAATTCTTTTGAGAACTAAATGAGAAAAAGTTAATTGTGCATTTACATGTTTATCTTCCCTAACACTTGCACTGACAAATTGTCTGTTGTAAGAAAAGAAAACAAAAGAGGGAAATACATTATTCTGAATGAGCTTATTTCTATGAAAGAATTAATTAATATAATTACATGTTCTTTTCAACAACAATATTTTTCTTTTCCTATAAGCAAATTATAGACTGTATAAGTTATGCAATGTTATTATAATTTTTCAATGACATAATTAGAAACAATTATACTGCTTTCCAGTGAATGTCAAAGTGTAGATTTGCATAAATATATATTATTAATACTTAGTCAACAATTCCATTAATTTGGCCAAAATTTAAGTAACATTCAAGTGTACTATATTCTTGAGATGTTAACTTTTAAAATTTTTAATAAAATATAAATGACAATAAAAACTATCCTTTGAATATTCAGTTTTATAAGATTTTAACAGATACATCTATGTAATCACTACCACAGTCAAGATGTAATCAGTTTCATCAACCCCAAAGTCTCCCCAACCCACTTTGTGGAGGAGGGAGACAGAATCTAAGATGGTCCCTGACTCAGATGATGATATCATGAACTTAGAATTTATAATGCAATAGGGCAGAATTTTGTGACTTTGGGAGAGGCCAGAGTCCCTTGAATGCGGAGGAAATATGAATGAGTGGGATTCAGGGAAGTGTTGAGGGGATGTTCCCTGGTAACTCTAGCCCACTGGTAGTCATGCTGATTTATAATTCTCTCCATTTGGGTGTGAGCTGATTTAGCAACTCCCAGAGAATAGAATGGAAAAGGTAATAGGGTGCCCTTGCTGATATTAAGTTGCAAAAAAAAAAAAAAAAGACAGTAGCTTATGTCACAGTTGCTCACTTTTGCTTTTGCATGCTGTCTGAGGAAAGCCAGTTGTATGATGTGAACTGCATTTTTTTTAATTTTATTTTTTTATTTTTTTATTTCATCTGTTTCTTTTTTTATTTTATTTTATTATTAGTTGTTCAAAACATTACAAAGCTCTTGACATATCATAGGAAGGGCAGCAGAATTCAACAGACACTAGTATGGCAGTATGTAAAAAAGTGGATGTGGATGGAACCCATGTGAATCTGCAATATGTGTATGGGGTAAAAATGGGAGTTCATAGTCTGCTTGAATCAAATGTGAACTGCATTTTGGAGAAGTGCAGGTGACAGGGAATTGGGAGAGGTGTCTGACTGCCCAGCCAGGAAGGAAATAATCTTCTGAGTCCAAATGCCACAAGGTACTGAACCCTGCCAAGAATTGGTATGGGGTTTGGAAGCAGATCTTCCCCGAGTCAAGCCTTCAGATGGCACTGCAGATTACTGACAGCAGCACCATTGAACTGCAACTTTATGAAGCTTGAGATAGAGGAATATCTCAGCCATCCCCATGTTCTGACTCACAAAAATCATAAGGTGATAAAAGTACCTTACTTTAGGCTACTAATTTGTTATAAAACAATTAAAAATTAATGCAGAGGTCTACTCCGATCTCTACTCTCTGCCCCTGGCATTAACTTATTTGTTTTCTTATAGTTTTACCTTGAGTATGTCATATAAATGGAATCATAAGCATTTAGCTCTTTGGCATCTGACTGCTTTTGTTTATCATAATATGTTAAAAAATTCCCCCATTTTGTGGTGATTATTGTAGTTTGTTCCTTTTTATTGCTGAGCAATATTCCATTTATATAAATGTGCCAAATTTGTTGTTGTTGTTGTTTTTATTTATTCATGTGAAGAACATTTCAGATGTTTCCTGTTTTCTGACAATTACACATAAAGCTTCTGTCACTATTGTCATTGAGATTTTGTGTGAACAGAAGTCTTTACTTCACTGAGGAGTAGGATTGCTAAGCTGTACAGTATGTTTACATTTAGTTTAAGAAACCATCAGATGCTTTTCCAAAGTGGCTGTACATTTTTGTATTAGCACCAGCAGTGTGCAAGTAGTGTTCAAGTTGTTGCACATCTCTGGAAGAACTTGAAATCATTAATTTAATTTTTATTTATTTATTTATTTGATAGTCATTATGATAGGTATCCCATTGAAATGTTAATTTGCATAGCTGTCGTGGATAATGATAATGATTCATGTGTTTATTTGCTATCTGCAATCTTATTTTTGAAGTAACTATTAAAAATGTATGCCCACATTTAGTTGTATTGTTTTCTTCAGGAGATCTCAATATATTCTCAATATATTCGATATATTCTGCATACAAGCCCTTTATTAGATATGAGACTTCCATCTATTCTGTCCTAGGCTGTAGTTTGACTTTTCATTTTGTAATAGTATCTAATAAAGAACAAACTTTTTAAAAAATTTTCATGAAAGTTAATATACATACTTGAGAGTTGTATTAAGTTATAACTGTGTTTAACAGAAAACAAAGATTATTTTGGAGAAATGTTTTAGGATAATGTGAAATCTGTTAGTGTCTAGAAGTTAGTTGTCTATATAGGCTATACATCTAAATATATATATATCACTCTCAGTTCATATGTTGTCACCTATGGATTGGGGAGAAGTGACCCTTTAGGTTAATTCAAGATATAAACACAGGTCTACATAGAATTTCTACACTTATATGAGACAGCCATTTAATTCCCAATACTGGGCAGGCCAGAATGTCCTAGGGCATCTTTGGATTGATGGTGTTTCCTTCACTCATAGACTGGAAAAAAACAACAAAAACAACAATAACAACAACAACAACAAAAAACAGTATGGGGTCTGGGGTTGTAGCTCAGTGGTAGAGTACTCGCCTAGCATGTGTGAGGCCCTGGGTTCT